TTTAATATATTACTGACTTATTTGCTTACACCTATTACTCCTAATGGAGCCATAGGCTGCCGACCACCATTCTCCAACCCACTCTGTCCTGGGTGTTTCTTTCTACTTCTATCCAATTGTTATTCATTCTTCTCATGTCTGTTTCTATTTCTCGATATAATGTGTTCTTTAGTCTTCCTCTTCTCCTATGAACTTGAGGATTCCAAATGAGGAATTGACTTGTGACATAGTGTTATGTCCTAATAAGAATAATGAATGGTAATTTTTAGGATCCATTTATGGACCAATACTATACGTATATTTTTATCGTATAATTGTTAAATAAATAAACTTTCCATACTCACATTCCTCTTATTATGAGCTTTATTTTGACCTATGAACTATTATTATACGATCTACCATTGTTGAATTATGCCGTGTCTATTAATTACTACCTCCTACATTCACAGCCACATTTGTCCAAATTTTGTCCAAATGTTGTTTCCTATTTTATGGTACAGTGTGGTCTGTTCGATTTGTATATAAACCCAACATGTTTGAAATAAATGATTCATATTGCAAAGGCTGAGATTGTTGTTGTTGAGTTAACTGGCTGGGCTAGGCGGAAAGCAGGACCAATAAGGACTCTACACTACTCGCACGTGTTTTATGCGTCATTGGTCCGATCGATAATTCATTTCTCTCTAATTGGCAGTATCATTACGCATACATTAGCAGGACACTCAGGCCACAAGTTATAACACATAGTTGGGTGTATTCCTTAATGTGTGTTCTATCCAATTCCGGCGATTCTTCCTGATTTTTCCCTCCTCTGGAATCCGGTTTATTCTCTCACACAGTATGTTGTTGCTGATGGTGTCAATGGATTACTAATTCTGATATAAATAATTAACTATTACATAGCGAATTGTTCATTATAGTAACGGATGAACAGTTGGGCTAGTGTTACAAGTTGAGATCATAAACTGATAGGGTTTACGCCACCAACTAATATCAGTTATAATGCAAGAAATTTAAGGTTAGATATAAGAAATTAAGTGATCTTTATGAGTTAGAATTACGAATATGGTTTAAGGTTTTCATCATGAGCTGATAATGGCTATAATACAGATGATGTTTCACCACCACTTTATTTACAAACTTATGATACCCGTAATAAGGATTTATATTTAAAAGTTGCAGTAAGAAAATACTATCTAACTATACCAATACCCTTGACTATGCCAATCCTTTTAATGACAGACATTGAGCTTATAATTTTACACAAAAACTTCCATGAGGTTCTATCTTAATTCTGACTAGTTCACTAAAAGTCATCAGTTCAGTATAATTTTACCGTAAATTCCATTGAAGACGTCTAGTCACTGAATGTACAGTCTAATTATATGACATTCAATTAAGAACAATGCACAACAATAAACAATTAAGAGAAGGCTGAAGGAACACAAATAGTGTTTGAAAAATTTTCCCAAATACTCGGTTGACCTAATGAAACTTGAGAATAGGTCTGAGATAGCGTTACATACGTTAGAAACAGGACATAAGATTAATTTTGAAGGGATTAAAATACTTCAGAATGGGTTTTAACACTCGTAAAGAAAGATTGACAGTAGAAGCGTTGTATATAAAAACGAACAAGAACAGCTTGAACCGAAAGGATGGTATTCAACTACTAACTACTTGCCAATGATTCGTTAGCAAGTATTTAAACCCTTTCTTTATTCAACCTGTTTATTTCACATGCATCATTATATTGACAGAAATTAATGTGAGTTATGTAGTTGATTACACATCAATGATTCAGAAACTTTTTTCAACCTTCAAGTTACACTTCTCAGTTTCCTTCATATAAAAACACAATCACATCATCAATAACTCAATCTCATACATACATATATATATACATACATACATACATACATACATATATACATACATACATACATACATCGCACATACACAGTTCTTTCAGTCATATATTTTCACGTCGTGAACCAAAGTCACCATCCGAATATGATTGGATTAGCACAGTATAGATTTGATCTGATTCGATTGTTAGAACGCTATATATATATATATATATATATATATATATATATATATATTTCTATGATTTTCATTGTTCGACCCTGAAGAAGTCCAGACAAATTTGCTGGACGAAACGTTAGAGTTATTTTTAAATTTCAAACTCTAAGATTACTTCGGAATATAATTTTGCACATATAATGAATTCTGTACACACTCGGAGCTCATTTTCAGTCAAACTATTCGTTTTAATCTTGATGAATATTTGTATAAATTAAGAGAATAGGTATTCGAATTTCATATAATAATATGGTGTTGGCTACGGGCCGGCTCAGTAGTCTAATGGTTAAGCGCTTACGCGCGAGATCGATAGGTCCTGGGTTCGAATCTCGCAAGGGGCGGGATCGTGCATGCGCACTGATGAGGAGTCCTATACTAGGACGAAACGACCGTCCAGTGCTTCTAGGTTTACCATGGTTATCTAGCTTTAATTGACTCATGATTTCAACTAGTGAGATTAATAAAAGGAAAAGAAACATCTCTCATATTAATCCATAAGAATAGATAATTGACCAACATAAACAATCTGACTTATAGGTATCATTACTAAGGTTTGACTTGACCATTGGATAGATTGTTCTAAATAAATTAATATAATTGTAGATATTCCAATGAGTAGTAAAATTAAATTTTTTTGGCGTTTCGTGACTTAGTTTAAGCTACTTCTTCAGTGAATAAATAAATAAATAAATCTGATTTATATTAAACAATAAACATATTTTATTTCTGAACTAATATATACATACATTCATAACTATATACTTAATGTTTTAAAGCAAAGTGATCTATTCATTTATTCATTCATTCAATTCAATTCATTATAGACAATGGTCTTATAATGAATAGTATATTATTATTTGTTTTATACCATAGTAAATAATGCATTCTACTTTAAAGATAACTGGGTTATCTTTGTAAACATGTAAAGACAATTATAAACAACATTATTATTACTATTATTATTATTAGTAGTAGTAGTAGCAGTAGTGGTAGTGGTAGTGGTAGGGGTGGTAGTAGTAGTAGTAGTAGTAGTAATAGTAGGATCAGTATTGGTAGTAGTAGAAGTAGTAGTAGTAGTGGTAGTAGTAGTGCTAGTAGTAGTAGTAGTGGTAGTAGTAGTAGTAATGGTAGTAGTATTAATAGTAGCAGTAGTAGTTATACTAGTAAAAGTGGTAGTAGTAGTAGTAGTAGATGTAGTTGTTTTTGTTATTGTTGTAGTAACAAATAAAGGATAATTCTTTAATTCTAGTAAATTTATATTGATCATTGAGATTTTCACTGTAACCTACAGTATCTATTTAGTTTGGTTTGTTTATTATTCTTTAATAAGTAAATAAGTGTTTGTATGTAATGTATATAATTTATGATTAAATTTATCTTTATTGTTAAGAGATGAGTAAAAACAATTATGATAGAACTGGTTAAAAAAAGAAATACATACTTAACTATAATCAGAGAGAGGGAGTTTGTGGATATTATAGTGATTTTAACAGTTAAGATCATGAGTCAATTGAAATCAGATTACCATAGAAAACCTGCAAGCAGTTGATGACCGTTTCGTTCTAGTATAGCCCTCGTCAGCAGTGCGCATCCACGGTCCTGACAGTGACATTCGAAATCAGGACTTATCAGTCTCACGCGTAAACGCTTAATCTCTAGACCACTGAGCCAACCTGCATTCAATGGTGTTATTGTCTAACTTCAATTAATCTATGAAATTGTGGGATACATCTATCACTGTCTTCAGTAAGTTACTATCTCACAACAGATCCGGTTGAACTCCACTGGTCACGGCTTCTCACTAGAACTCTGGGAAATACATCTCAGAGACAGTCACTAGTGAGTGTATATTGATTCATATCAGAAGGGGGTTTTGTGGATATTATAGTAATTTCAATAATTTACACCATGGGTCAATAGAAAGTAGACCACTATGGAAATCTTGGAACAACTGAATGACCGTTTTGTCCTATTGTGGGACTTCTCAAGAGTGGATTGATTGAAGTCAGACATTAACATCGCTGGATACCGGCTGGTTCAGTGGTCTATAAATTAAGTGTTCGTACACGAGTCCTGAGAGGCAGGATCGTGGATACATACTGCTGAGGAGTCCCACAATATAGATGAGTTGAATTAATGAGTCGATTTGAGTATAGATGACCATGAAAAACCTGAAAGTATTGTATGGCAATTTCATTCTAGTACGAGACTCTTTAACAGTGCACATCCACGATGTCACAAGCGGGACTCGATGCAAGCAAATTCAGTCTTTCGGAGTTTAATCTATCTGTTGTAGAGGCAGTCAACCATTGAAGACAATGGTGGACAGTTGTTATAACTGGCTCTGATGTATCCAACTCACAAAAAGATTCCTTGTTTAATGTTCATAGAATTGTCGCAGTAACCGCCCACGAAACAGAAAACAAATCGTGAAGTATACTGAATGCAGCTGCACTAAATGAAGCTCATCATTCTGCGATAGAAGTTTCTAGTGGACTCTATACTCAATGCGGGAAATATGCTTTAAATAGAGTTACACTAACTGTAACTTAGAAATATGAGGACCCAACATTAACTCGGGGGGGGGATGAAGTCATAAAAAAAAGATGGATCTCAACATAGAGTCTTCAAAAAAAGAAGGGGAGGTGATATGATGGAAAGAATAGTCAATTTTCGATTGATTTGCTCATGATGAGTTTTGATCAAGATTACTTCCGTTCTGATTCAATGTAATGATTACTCAATGTAGTATTTGTTTTCTTTTCTCGTATGATATTTTATCCTATATAATATACGATATTCTTGTATTCTATTGACCTGAACTATACTCATCATTTGTTATAACTGTGAGTATTTTTCATGTATGTGATTTTCTTCTAATTATTAATCAAAATGGGTGTACAGTCAATATATAAATGAGTGTATTTTCTACCAAATCACCACTATTATCGTCATTATCGTCATCATCATCATCATCGTCATCATCATCATCATCATCATCATCATCATCATCATCATCATCATCATCATCATCATCATCATCATCATCATCATCATCATCATCATCATCATCATCATCATCATCATCATCATCATCATCATCATCATCATCATCATCATCATCATCATCATCATCATCATCATCATCATCATCATCATCATCATCATCATCATCATCATCATCATCATCATCATCATCATCATCATCATCATCATCATCATCATCATCATCATCATCATCGTCATAGTGTTTTGTGGCTAATAAATCTTCACTTATACCAGTCTTTGTGTTCTTACTTTCGCGTTGTGGAAATTGCAGAGGTCCCTCGTTCCGAATATAAGTGATCAGCGTTTTTCCGCCACAACAATCAACGACGACCAGATGTAACAACAGTGGCATAATATTGTGGAGTGGTTAGAGTTAGATATTAATACCATTTAATGCCGGTTCAATGGTCCAGAAGTCAAGTGTTCGCACACAAGGCCGAAGGTTTTTAAGTTCGAGTGCTTCATGCGGGATCGTGGATACGCATTGCTGAAAAGTTCCGTACTGGGATGAAATGGTCGTCCACTGCTTCTAGGTTTTCCATGTTGATCTAGCTTCAAGTAACTCATTACTATAATATCCACAAAACCCCCTTCCTATACAAATTAATAGTTTGAATACATTTTTTAAATGGTTTTTTTTTTAACTTTTTCCCAGTGAAAAAAACTTTTAAAAAATACAAAAAAGTTATCTCATTTTGAAAAAATAAAAACGTTACATTTTTTTTGTTCGTTTAGATAAAATCAGTCCGACATAAAAATGATGTCTCAAAAATGACAGTCGACAAAAGGGAGAAGGTAAAAGAGAGAGTGTGTAAGAGAGAGGGGGTGTGACTGAAAACATTTAGCCATTTTAAAAATTAAAAAAAAACAAAAAAAAAGTGAAAGGAACATTTTCTCTATGACGAAATGAACTTTTGACCTTTTATACCAAGTGAATATGAAGATTGTAAAAAGATATATATATATATGCGGACCTGTTGAATTTTAGATTATCTTCATTCTACTATTTCAGGTTAACGATTTTTTCTTTCTTTTGTTTTTTTTTTTGTTTTTTGATTGTCGGCAAGACTATTTTTGCATCATGAAATGTTACCAAAAGTTATTTAGAAATAAATTAAACATTTAATTTGACAAAAAAAAAGACAGGAATTAATTTTTTTATACTTACGTCTGTTACTCCCAAAGGAACATTGGTTACCAGCTAGTATTCTTCAACATACACTGTCTTGAGCCTTCATTTATACTTCTATCTAATTGTTGTTCCTTTTTCTGATGTCTATGCTAGGTTTGAATTTATCACGAGTTCACTTAATCTGCGAACGAGAAACAAGACTCAGTGACTAAAGACCAGTAAGCTAGCTATTGATACGTCCCAGACCCGCTATCTAGAGGAAGAAGTTCAAGCTTAGAATAGAAATTATATTCTGCAACAGCCAGAAAACGAGTGAGCACAATCAACACAATTTAAAACGTATATACATAAATATATATAATCGATATTGCCATGGAGCTTCTAAACATTTAATCGACAAGTTCGTCAATCGACTGCCATTGAAATATTTAAACATTTAATCGATAAATTCGTCAATCGACTATGTGTGTGGGTGGTAAGAAATGCCCACGCATACATCTGCATACAAGCTCCACAAGATAAAATTACAAACTATGAGTTTTTGCGGATCTATCGTTCCCAACAGTCTGTCTCCAATTCTCTGCGTAATGTGTTCTGTGGTCTTCCATTTCTCCTTTGACCTTGAGAATTCCAAGTGAAGGCTTTCCTTGTGATGCCGTTGGGTCCTGTCTACTTCCAACGCTTCTTCCTGATTTGTTTCTCCACTTAAATCTGGTTTGTCCTCTCCCGCTGTGGGTTGTTTGCTGATAGTGTCTGGTGAACACATCCGAAGTATTTTGCGTAGACAGCTGTTAATCAACATTTGCATCTTCTGGATGATAGCTTTTATAGTTCTCCAAGTTTTCACGGCGTCCAGTGGAATTATTATGAAATTTGTATTGAAAATTGTGACTTTGTTGTTGGTTGACAGACAGTTGTTTTGATTTGCAGATGTTCTTCGATTGTCGGTATGTTGCTCTTGTTTTACCGACCCACGCTTTCACATCTGCATCAGATCGACTGTGCTCATCAATGATGCTGCCTAGATATGTTAAGCTTTAAACATACTCTAAAGCTCCATCTGGAGCGTCTCTGGGGCTACTTTCGATTCCAAGCCCGGTTAATAGAGGAGGGTTGGGCGTGAGGTTAGCGACCCCATCCCGTAGAAAACTAACTCGCCAAAAAAAAAAAACGCTAATCAGAAATAGCAATTCAATTTTTTTGATAGCTACTTAAATAAAACATTGGATAAAAGTGTTTGGAGAATTTCCTGATCTCACTATGTTACATTGTATTCTCTTCAACTATGTACAAGAATTACAATTACCAGTGTGTATTATCATACTGTGATGTATAGTCACAAACTAATGATTTCATGTAACATGTTCACAGATCAATGAAAGAGTTTTTCATGTTAGATTTCATCTAAGCTACTATTGGTAAAAAATAAAAACCCCTAGCATTTCCCAATTAATATAAAACATGCTCTGTTTTTCGATGATTACCTCAGATTGTATCCTCTTAATGAAAATAAGATTGGCAATCTCGAATACATAAAATGATACTGATTACTTATCAGTAATTAGATCATGTAAAGAATTTATACAATGACATAACTCGTCCAAATAACTAAATATTCATTGCTCTACTAAACAGGCAGTTGTATTGAAGTGTATGTAAATCTCAAGTAAGATCTTACTTTACTAACAATGTCTAAATAAATGACCAAAGATTTATTTTTAGAAAGCTTTAATCGTATTTGTTATCTATTCAATATAACCTAATGAATAAATCTATATTTACATATTTTGTTATTCAGCAACTCCCAATTCTACCTGCATAATTAGTACTATGACTTGAAATCAGTACCGATTTCTATCATTAACAATCTATAATGCATCTGTCTATGGAGTTTTATTTCAGCCTAACTACAAAACCAAACTACTTGATTTTTCTAAATTCATTCAATCTTAAGTTATGTAGTTTGATTTTCTTAAGCTTAAAGAAGTTTCAATGCGATTAAACCGCTTAATGTTGTTTCTAGGACCATCTTATATCACTTTCATGATTGTCATTTGTAATTTTCCCTTAATTACGAGAATTTCATTGATATGAACCTCAGTTCTTAAATCGGTAGGTTATTCGTTATCGGCAAATACAAAACTGTCAATACTTTAGTTATGTCCTGATGTATGTTGAATGCTCATTATTGAAAAAGCGAAATTTAGCTAACTATGATAATTAGAAGTATTTGAATTATAGTATGAACTATGAATCCCAGGGATAACGCAATTGAATCAAGAAGTACTACACAAGCACTAACGAATGTACTGTATTTAGAATTCGAAATCAAACGTCCAACAAGTACAAAGGAGTCATTAGTTCATTCAAACACCACATCCGCCACAGCTTAAATTAGAGTCTAAGTGTCTGTAATCAATTGTACGTCTTCTCCTCAAGTTCATGTTGTGTCTGTCCGACAATGTATTGGATAAAGACTCTGTATTATCTAGAATGCACTCATTATTATTAGAATAAACAACCGAAATCGGAACAGACTCACTTGTTTCCTGGGATTGTATATGATCATCATGTCGGTTGAGTACTAAAACTACTGCTACCTAGAATTTCAACCATAGACATTCAGACTATCCTCCCCCACGAAATAATGTCGGATCTTCATATCCCCAAGTTATGAATAATGTGGCTCCATTTAAAACATCTTTCTCAATTTGACTAGAGTAAACATCGGAAGTGAATATATGATAAGGACAAACAACAGTTGATATGGAATTATCTGAATTGTAATCAGAATCGAGCTCATTTAATACTCGTGCTTCGCACTGAACAAGTTTCCCACAAGAAACAAATGCATTGTGAGGACAAGTAATATTTGATATGACATCAAGATTTGATTCTTCTGAAATGGTTTCCTCAAATTTATTAAGAATGTCATTGCAGAGTAAAGGATCATTAGAAAAATCAGCATCAATCAAGACTACATCAGGTTTTCGATCATGATCAGGTTCAACCGAAATATTTTCACCAGATTTGTGAGAAATTTCATCAGAAATATGTGAATCATTAGGAAAAATAATATCTGGTACAATAACATGAGAAATCTGATGGGTTGATTGATTAGGAATTGTTGCCTCGCAAGGATTCTGAGTTTCATTTAACTCTGAACTGCTATATGACTCTAAACTGGCTTTTGAAATCGTCGATAAAGATGAATGATCATTATAAATACTCAACTTAATAGAATCAGAATCACAAGACTTAATATTAGTTGCAGCAATATGAACAGTAATTTTACAAACTGACTGATTATGTCCAACATCACCACATTTAAAGCACTTAGAATTACGAAATTTACATGAATTAAAAGAGTGGAACCTGCCACAGCACAAACATTGACCAAACTTGTGCCCATCCTCGTCAACTGCATCGCAATTCCCAAATGAATTATCTGCATAATCTTGAGTATGCACTGGGATGGGGCGACGTAATGTAGTGGAATTTTTTATATCCTCATGAATTATTTTACGAAATTTCCCTTTACCGCATTCGAAATTTGTATACTTAGCATAGTCTAGAAGTAGTTCCTTGAGAGTTGTATAAGGAAGAGAAATGGGCTTTTCCGGTAAAGCCAAAATTTTTATTAATCTATATGCTTCTTTTCCGATGAATGTGAGAAAATGTGCCACAATATTAATATTCTCATCATCTTCATTGGTCATAGCCCAGATTTCGAACCTTTCAAAGTAATCCTCATAAGCATCAAAATCCGAATGAATATCTAACTGTTCCATCGCAGGCCCCATCGCGACGCCAATATGATAATTAGAAGTATTTGAATTATAGTATGAACTATGAATCCCAGGGATAACGCAATTGAATCAAGAAGTACTACACAAGCACTAACGAATGTACTGTATTTAGAATTCGAAATCAAACATTCAACAAGTACAAAGGAGTCATTAGTTCATTCAAACACCACACAAACTTATCAAACTATCTAACCGTTCTATTAAGGTTACATGTCTCGAAATTATGTAGTTTTTTTTTTTTTTATAAAAGCAAAGCTTG